GAGCGCCAGCTGCTCCTGCACAGGCGAGAGGGCTGGGCGGGCTGGGGAAGCGCAGGAAGGGGAGTGTGTCCCTGTCTGCCTGTGGGTGCTGGTCCTGACCCTGCCTGTGTCAAGGGAAAGGGGTGCCGCATCCTTCTGGAGGGCAGAGGTCCGTGGACTGGTGGTGACCGTGAGGTCGGGCTTTTTGGGAGCTCTGTTGGAGCGCCCGCGTGGGGCCCTCAGTGTCTGTCCCAGGGGCAGGTTGGTCCCCGGGAGCCGCAAGGTGCTGCGTGGGGACAGCACACGTGCTGAGGCTGGTCCTGGCTGCCGGGCGCCACACACACCTTGATGTTCTCCTTGGTGATGCGGGGCCAGGCCACTTTCTCATTCCACTTCCTCATAAAGCATGTGATGGAGCGGTCGGAGCGCTTCTCCCGTGAGTCCTGCCAAGAGATCGGGGGTGCCTCACCTCAGTGTCTGCTGGACTCCTCTCTGTAATCCACTGCAGACACGCACCGGATTAAAGCTCAGCCACGTGCAGGCTGTCTTGGTGATGCGGGGCCAGGCCACTTTCTCATTCCACTTCCTCATAAAGCATGTGATGGAGCGGTCGGAGCGCTTCTCCCGTGAGTCCTGCCAAGAGATCGGGGGTGCCTCACCTCAGTGTCTGCTGGACTCCTCTCTGTAATCCACTGCAGACACGCACCGGATTAAAGCTCAGCCACGTGCAGGCTGTGGGACACAGAGAACCACGGAGACGAGTTGTTTCTGGCCCAACACAGTACTGCGAGTGCCAGGCCCAGGGTCAGGGCTCCCAGGCTTGTGCTCACCCCACTCAGGCTCTTGGGAAACAGGCAGGATTCAACACTAAGCGGCGTTGCTCAAGACTGCACAGGCTGGGTTTAACTCTGAGCCTGATACAGGCTGTCGGAGAACAGTTTGCTGGGGGGAAGCCTCACCTTGGAGTTGACCCTGGCATACAGGTTGATCTCGTTGTAGAACTCCGCACCGTCTGCATTTTTGCAACTGCCAAAACACCATAACAGCCTGGCTTAGGAGAGGGCTGAGGCCATGCGTGCCCTCTTACAGGGTCCCCGCTATCCCCCACACCACGCCCAGTTCAGGGCCGTGACCCCGGTCGGCAGGGCAGCGGCAGCGCACCTGAACACCAGCCGCTGGTCCTCAATGACAACCTTAACATCCGTGCTGTCCTCGACACAGAACTCCAGGTAGACATACCGCGGGCGGTCGTACCACAGCGTCTTTGCAGGTTGCCTTGAGAAAGAGCAGACCAGTGGGTATTTCCATGGTGCCCACCAGCGCTCTGCAGGGACCACGTGAGGCACGGGGTGGGGATTGGGGCAAGGAGGGTGCCCAAAATGTGTACCCCGTCTGGGCTGAGCTCGCGGCTGGCAGCGAGAGCGAGGTGGGTGCAGGGCCCGGGCCGTGGGTGGTGGGCATGCAGCGCTCCCCTCCCGCGCCCCAC